ACTCTGATAGCTGGTGGCCTCATCTCTCAAGCTGCAAGAATTCTTGTGAGAATGTCTACGTCTAATCACTCTGTCTTCTATCGCCAAAACCTGACTTCAGTCACTTCCCACCTTCCCTCATGCATTAAATGCTTATTTGTGGGGTTTGCTGCATTAAACAGGCGCTACTTCATTAAATGAAGCATGGGTCCCTGCTATCACGTGATGATCTGACTTTAATATTTCTGGCCGTGAATTTGCTCGGCCTTGGCCTCGGCCTGCACTCGAGGCCGAGATGATCATGCCTTAACATTTTTCTTTTGTCTTTAGGAAGGCAAAGTACCTTGTTGAAACGCTGCGTTTCAGTTTTACGAGCAAGTGCTAGGGCCGAGAAAGGGGGCTCCTTCGGCCAGCTCACGGCCGTGATTTATTAGGCACAAACAGTGAACACATGGGTTTCTCTCTAGGGAGAGAAACCTGTTTTGAATATAAGCACGGTTGTTTCTCTTTATCCAATGGCTTTTGACGTTTTAATCTTTAGAGCATATTGGATCTGTTTGTGCAAAAGCTGTTGTGTTTATTTTCTTCAGTAAATCATCAAGTGCTCTTTTGTTGCTTGGTGATTTATTGAATCCTTTCATCATTCATAATTGCATACATATGCATGTCGGTGACTCATATGGTTGAGGGCACCAAAATCGTTGTGGCGTTTATCCTCCGGTGAGCTTGAAGCAATCGCGACCAATATTGCGTTCAACGTAAGGAGTGTTGAAGATCATCCCGTGACAGAAGTTGAATTACACAGAAGTCGGTAAACTTTATCTAGATTGAGTCTAGAATAAGTGTCTAAGTACCTCTTGTAATTTCAATTTCATAGTGGATTTGTTCTTGACTAAGGAGTCCTGTGGATTTTCCCTAGAGGTGGGGTTTTACCACGTAAAATAAATATCTGCATGTTCTTTTACTTTCAGCTCTGCACATATCAGGATTAATAACCTATATCAATCCTGCTTCGAAAGTCTATTGTTATTTATTGCTAATAAACTCAAATTAGCCTATTCATCCCCATCTAGGCATTTTTAGTCATCCTACAGGTATTTTCACAATGCAATGGTTCAGGCTAAGTATTTTAAATATGAGATAGTTTCGTATGATATCTAATTTCTTGGGATTAACCTGATTCTTGTTTTTGTTTTGTTTTTTGTTTTGGAGTTTTTGATTGAAACGGTCCCCCAATTATTGCTCGAGTTTCATTTTGGTCTAACGAGCTAAATTTTTCATTTCAATAGTCCATTAACTCTCCATTTAGTATCAAAACGGTCCTATTGTTAAAGCCTGTTAATATTATCGCTAAATTGAGGGGTAAAACTGTCCATGTAAATTAAAATATTAATTAATTAATTAAAATTAAAGGAAACTATTATTAAAATTAGAAATTTAAATTAAAAATTAAAAATTTGAATCTCACCAGAAACACCTACTGTCGTTGGAGGACCAGGAACAAGGAAGAGATGTGATTCACCACCACCACCACTCTGTCTGTCTGTCTGTCTGTCTGTCTGTCTGTCTTTCTCTTTCCCCCCACGAGCCTCCTCTCCCACCAAAAACTTCTCAAGACATCCACTACCTCCTCTCCCAGCTAGATAGATCCCATCACAAAAGCAGAATTAGCAATGAAGAGGAAGGAAATTGGAGAACAAGAAAGGAAGATGGAGTCGACCATGAAATCAGTTGGCTGGAAGTAGATGAAAGGTAATACCTGATCACAAGCCCAATTGAAGTTCCAACCCCAAAATCGAACTCAGAATACCCATCTCTAATCTGCCCTTAAAATTTCTGTTTCTAGTAGCTGTCCACCAAAGGGTTTTAGAATTTTTCTTCTTTAGTTCCTAAGATAGTATTTGATTCATTGAGCTGATGCTGCTACATGGGCAGGGACACCTGAGATATTTCGTCAGAATGCCCCACCTATGAATTTCTTTCCATTTCTGGAAAATTCAAGGAATGTGCCAACAACTCTTAGGGACTTTAAATCCATGGATTTGTTCCCTCAACAAGCTGGTTTTGGCTCCTCTGTTCCCATAGAAGAGGTTCCGTAGATCCAATTTCTGTAAATTTAAAGGCATTGTTGCAGCAAATGATTTTGTTCAGTTTATTGCACATGGGCAAGTAAGAAGTTATATATAGCTAGGTCTGTTATAACTTATATGTGAAGTATTTTCTTGGGCTCATTATGGCTTGTTCATCATGTGTCAGTGTGAAGAAATCTTCCCCAGGAGAGCCTCAAAAGGCACAAATGACCGTATTCTATGGCGGACAAGTAAATAGTGTTCAACAGAATAATTGACAGAGAGAGGAATCGGGTGAGTTGCAGGGATGGACAGACTTTTAAGGTAGGACCATTTTGATACTAAATAGAGGGTTGAAGGACTTTTGAAATGAAAAATTTAGTTTGTGGACCAAAATGAAACTCGAGCAATGGTTGGGGGACCATTTCAATCAAAAACCCTTTTTTTTTTTATAGCCTGATTCTTGTTTCTAACGTAATACATGCACCTGAAGTTAAGTGGTTTGATTAGAAGCAGTTATCTATGTTCTAATCCTCTCTTCTCCCATATGGCTTGTAAAAAAGATCATAATACATGCCAATGTTATTATTTATTATTTAGGATTTTATTATTGTTATGATAATTTTATTTTATGTATTGATTTTTACTTTACTCGAAATGACAAATTTAACCTTATCACTAACGGAAAATTGGATGAAATTCGAGAAACGTAAAGGGCAAGGGTTAAATTGGTTGTTTTAATGAGTTTGAGTGCTGAAGTGGCTGATTTTTAAGTTTGAGGGGTTGAGTTCGATTAGCATGATAATTCATGGGATAAAACTTTACTCCCAATTTTATTAGGTTATATTTGGGTTTTCCTGTTTATAATTTAGTTAAATATTATGGATGCTGGATATTTATTTTGCAGTATGCGAACGGGAATGGGAATGTAAGTAGCAGAAAAGAATGCTCAGTTGGCAGGGCCCCTTGTGAATGTGAAGCATGAGGATGGTGATGACTGATGAACAATTGCAAGTAGGCGTTACTTTTCCTTTCTATTATAATTATTTGCTTCTATAATTTTATAAATGCTCTCTGCTTAGATGTGTTTGTGGGTGAGAAATACCCATTGTTCTTCATGTTCAGCCACTCAAAAGGAGTGAGGCTTGGGATCTATTTTGCATGAAAGCTTTCTCTAGCTGTTCAAATAGATTTTACCCACCACCAGAGCTTTGAACTCAAAGCCAGGGATCTTGCTGGAAAACTCTAGGCATTGTAGCTTTGGGTGCTCTCATGTCAACCAAAAATTGGCTAAGCTTCAATGATTTACCCTACCATCTTAAGCTTGGTTGCATTTTTCCGGAAGATTATTTGATTCGGTGTAAAAGCGCTTATTCGACTTTGGATAGCAGAGGGGTTTGTGGAACAAGTTAGAGGGGCTAAGGGAGTGTCTTTGGAGCTGTTACATGAGCAAGGACTTCCCTCTTCTTTTACATATTGTTCCCCTTGATTCAGGAACGGAGAGTTTTTGCTGACGAAAATCAAAACTTTGGCACCTGTTGGATTGAATTAGGCTTGTGGGTTTTGAATTGGACAGTGTTGAGTATCTAACGCAAAATAAATTGGCAACGAGTGGTCGTCCAAGGTTGTCCAAGGCTTAAAATTCACTATGTGAGATTTTATATTCTTGACAACGATTGGTAGATATTGTTCTGGCTCCGGTGCCAGTTCTCTTGGGTTTTGAACCCAAGTTGATAGAAACTAGAGCCTTAAACACCTTATAACAAGGGGAAGGACCCATGGATGCATGCTATAAAGTAATATAATTGATTCTTCATTCATATATTTCAAAAATTGTTTGATCAAGTAATCAAAGATGAACATATTTCTACTTTCTCTATATCAGGTAATGGCTAAAACTTTCATATATATGACATCTCACGGAGGTACAACACCTTCAAATTCTTCCGTTGTTGCTGCTGCTGCTATGCTGCACACCGTTTTCAAAAGTTGTGTTAAAATATACCAAAGTTTATTTATGAAAAGATGGCTTAAATGGAGAAGCATTTCAATGTTATCTGGTAAGTAGGAAGAGAAGATAGGAAATTAGAAATTGTGTGCCTCGACTAAGCAAAGCTTGATTACCTCCTCAACCCGGTGTCCTTCTTTCTTCACCTTGTGGACATGATACTCTTTCTGATAATTATTTATATGAAAGAATCAGTACTTAATTGCAACAATCAATGAGCCCAAATTAGAGAATTGTGTTCATTTACATATCTTGTATTTAGAAAAAGAGTGAAAATCTTGAGCCTAACATACCACCTAGTTTTTAACAAAACATGTAGTCATATGGAAGATGTACAGAGTGAACACTCACCCACTACTTGATGTTTGGCTCATCTGTTAGACTGAGTGAAGATAACGGTTTTGAAAGAATCTCCACAGGATCAGCCGCACGGGAACTGCTCGAATCTACCGGGGATCTCATTGGAACAACTTTGTCTCTATACCAATTGAGAAACAATGGATGGATGATTCAAGCCATGTCTATAGAAACCTTTTAATCAGCACAAATGTACTGTTCTATTCTGTACAACTTTAACTTTTGCTAAATTTCTATATGTACACAATGAATAAATTCACAAGAAAAATTAAAAGTGAGTGCATACGTACCCCTCAACACATCTGAGCAGGCAGAGGTTCATCTTATCAGCTGTATAACTACGAAAAATGATCTGAAGCCGCTCCGCAAATTCGGTAGTATCAGAAACTGGAAGAACATCCCAAATCTTCAGAACCTGGACGTAATCTGAGTTCTCCTCGAGAACATCTACAGACCAAATGAGATTCAGCTGCCCTTTCACTTTATACTTCTCTAACAGCTGACCACAAGTACCCCGATGAACTATAACTCCTTTATCCTTGCAAGATTGGCGCCAACCGTCAGAGAGCTTTGTTAATAAGGAAACCACTTCTTGACGGATGTCAGTGTCTTTAATCTTCTCCATGGAATTCTGAAATTTTTTGGTGAAATAAACCTATACAGGAAGAAGATTGATTAATGCTAATACTAATATATGAAGAATAAATGCTGCAAAACACAGAATCTAAATGCAGAACGAATTCGCCTTTAAAAAGGCATGTTCCCCTATTCAGCTCTCCCTGGATAATTTATACATGTTACAAAGGAGATTTGTGAAGTCTATAAAGCCTTGATAATTTAGGAGCCATGTAGAACTCGAATGAAAGGGAAATGTAGCAGCATACCTTCCATTTGGCGTTTTTGAACAGCAGAGAATCAGCATTAAGTAGAATATGTAGTTGGCCAAGCTCCATGAGGGCTGCTGCAATGGCCTGAGCCAAGTCCTTGTCCTCATGAGCATTATAAAAACATTTGCGTTTCTTTGCATCAAGAATTAGCTTCTTCCAAATAGAGTTACTGCTAATCAAAGTCGCTTCGTTCCCCAAAATCCAAAGACAGTACCTAACAGACATAAAACAATTGATGAAGTTCGTCAAAAACCATCAAAAATTCAGACACTAGATAGAAGCTGCTGCAAGTAAAACCCCTAATATGACAAAAGTACCTTGCACGCGTTAGCATCACGTTTGCTCTTTGAAGGTTGGAGACAAAACCTACAGATCCTTTCTCATTACATCTGACAGTGGAGATAATTATCACATCATCTTCACCACCTTGAAAGCCGTCAACAGATCGCACACTTACGGAGAAGTCAGTGCCAGAAACTTCACTGTATTCTCCGACTCTCTCTTGAATTGCATTAACTTGAGCTTTGTAAGGTGATATTACCCCAACACTAACCTTCTTCTTTGTTCGAGTAAATTCTGTGGTCCATTAAAAAGAAAAAGTTACAAAAAAGCTAAGAACATATACACTAGCTTACAGCAAAACGTACCTCTGTAAAGGCTTGCCACAATCTCACAGACCACAGCAACCTCAACCATATTTTTTGGACTATGCCAGCGATCCAATTCTTCTTTTCCATTGAATATATCTATAAAGGAGTAGGATCCGTACATTTTTCCTGAAAGAAAAGACCTCTCATAGCTTCTTTGCTTGACATTTGGACCATCTAATATCCGGTTCTTGTAAAATTCCCCTTTTGGGAATAAGCTGATTGATGGATGCATTCTGTACTGGACATTGAGAAGGTGCTTCTTATGTCCCAACTGTACAAGCCTTCCGAACAAACTTCTTCCAAAACCAGCCTTCTCAGAAATCTGAAAGTTGCATTGTTCAAAATTCACATAAACATAAAAGCTTATCAAAATTTGAAAACTAAACAGCACAAGGGACAAAATGAAACCTTGCTTTTAACCATAGCAGGGAGTTGCTTCTCATCTCCTATGAGAATAGCATGGCGAAGACCAGGCAGTTGCAAAGGAATTGCTGATTCACATTCTTTAAGCTGAGCAGCTTCATCAATCACTAGCAATTCTAGAGGTCTCATTCTCTCTGTGTGCAATTTAGCAGAGCTTGATGCGGTGCAAAATATTAAACAAGCATTTGCCAAGCACAATGTCCTTATTTTCTTCAAATCATTCAAATCAGGAACAGAAAATTCACGAAGTGACATCAGTGTACGAACACAATCTTTTAGAACTAACTGGGACCTTTCATTAGCAAAACCAACATCCTGCAGTAAAGCTTTAAGAGAACTGAGCAAATCCGAAGCTCTAATCATGGCCTTCACAACCTCCAGTGAAATGCAAGAAGTTGGTAAGTGGGTGTACAAATTTTCCATGCAAATCTTCAGATCTTTACCAATTGAACAAAGTTTTTCCTTCACAAACTCCTCTAAGGTCAGAAAATCATCCTCATCATCCTTTGTTGAGTTGCTATCATTGACCACTCTCTTCATCGTTGTCAAAAGATTATTGCTATCTTTGCCATCCTCATCGCATCTTCTTTCCCTTATTTCTTTCGAATACAACAAGTACTTTTCCTGTGGATCCTCAAGCAAACCTATCATTGATTCCAACCAATGTTTCCATCCAGTCCAAGGGTTAAAACACTCGGCCAGAATTTCAATACGATAATCAAGAAATACCTCAACAAGGTCATCATAATTATCGATCTTCATCCGCTCCCCATTCCCAAATAGAATTATATCTCCAAGTCCATACTTTCCACAACCAAGAGACTGATTAACCAATCCCGGCAGTCGCGCTGCCACTTCTAACACGGCGATATTCGTTGGAGCACATGTTAGTGTTCGGCACTTCAACTTGAAGAGGGAAAAGAGTGACATAGCAACTGTCTTGGTTTTTCCAGTCCCAGGAGGACCCCATATTAGTTTGATGGTATTTTGGTGAGTACATTTACTCAAACTGATACTGTTCAAAACTGCAGCTTCTTGGGAATCATTTAGATCAGAGCCCATTGAGGGCCATCTATTTGAAAGGGCAGCAGAGCATTTTTCTTTGGAAAAGCAAATTGAACAAGAATTCCCACCCTGTAAGAAAGAAACATAAACCTGTTGTTTGGGGCTTTGGGAATCAATTAGCAACTAAGCATGGCCAACAATGCAATCAGAGTAGATCATCCTTGTTTTGAAAACATGAAGAAGGCCTAATGAATGTGCATGCATGATGTTAAAGTAAAGATAGAGTCAAGAAGAAAAAAATTACATGTGATGAATTGGGTTGCACTTGCAGCACATTCTTTGTTAAATTTGTGTTGGCCCCTTCTGAGTTCAAAGCTCTCCATACGCGAACATTTGTCGTCATGTTGATTAGATAGACAGCAAGAAGTTTTTTTCCTCCTTCTTTATTGATAGGCTTTGATGAGAGTATTGAGAGGTTATTATCTCTGCCTCGAAGAACATACGCAATGAGATATGAATCTCTGGGCTTGTTCACATCATTGGTGCATTTTGGTCTGACATCAGTCAAGGCAATAAGATCTCCAGCCTGCGGCTCATATGATCCTGCAGCTTCTCCCCTGCCCTTAATTATAATATCATAAAACAAGTCCTTGGGAGGTTTATGAACCTTAGAAGTTTTAACAGACAGAATTTCACAGATAGGTGCCTGTGACAGAGTCATCATGCTTGAGAGTAAATCAACATGTGTTTCCTCAACAAGTGAAGGAATGAACGATTTCATGTAACTCGTCACAGTCGAAAATGTCTCAGGAATTTTCGTCACCTGTAAGTTGACACAACCAAAGTGAAATCGACATGCATAACTCATCCCATTGTAGCTAGTTTTCTAATTAAGCATTGCTCAGAAAACATGATGACATGACAGAAATTAAGCATTGCTCAGAAAACAAACCTGTTTTTTGTAAAGATTTTTTTTGAGAACATCCTTCATAGACCAAGAGAAGACCAAATCGATTAAGCTTCTACCGGCAACGCCCTCCTTTTTCACATTACTCTCTTGATGATCCATAGCTGCTTACTGATCTTTTGCTATCTGCAATGACTACTTTGTAAGTTGTGGAATTTCAAGTCAAGCGCAAGTCAATTACTTAGTCTAAGATCATTTTCTTTTAAAGTATATATATAGTAAATTACTTAGCACGGAAGCAGAGCATGGCTTGCCATTTGGTCAAAACAAGTCTGCAGGGTACAGTGAAAGAGACCTTCCCAGCAGCTGCATATTTCCTTTTTCTTTGCATCAACAACTTGATAGCCAAGTACTTCTGCAATAAGTCAAGGACTAAACTAAGAGGAAAGTGACAACTTGTAATGATTTATGTTTTTAAAAAAAATGGAAGGAAAATAAGGATTAAAGATTATGCAAATTTATTTTTATAGGAAGAAAACAAACGGGTACAAGAATTTTGGAATATTGAATATAATATACAGAAGACCAAGAAGGCGACAGCTTCAAGTGCTTTTTCTTTTTCTGACCGAAAAAAAAAGAGTGCTTTTTTCTTTTATTAAAGTCACACTTCTGTTACGTGGGAAGTGAGAAATGAAAATTCACTCCAGAAAAGTAAAAAGAAAAAAATGAAGACGAAAAATATAAAAAGCAGTTTAGTTAAGCCTAAAGGCCATCAGAGATGTTTCAATGCATTACAAATTTGTATCTAATGGGAACAGAATTCAATAAATTGTGATTAATGGGCGATCTAACAGCTACAATCGTGTTAGTTCATCCCCTACCAATTCCTCCTATTTGTTTCGGTAACTATACAGAAGAAGGTTCGAATTAGTTCTGAAACAAAATGCTGGAAAAAGAATTATGGTCTGTGTAATACAATATTTTTGATTCATATTCTATGTATGACCTTTTAGACTAACTCAATTTTGCGGCCATAAATTCCAACATAATTTCAAATAAATTTCAATGTTTTCTTTCTGTATGAACCTTGTCTGCAATATATTCTTCTGGGTGGCTGAATTTCCATGGAACTGGCAAAATTTAGATCGAAAAGGACCATCAACTAAACAAAATTTCTACCACGAAATAAATCCGCTAGTCTCAGATAACTAGTACACGAAGTAATCGGTACCAAAATAGCAAACTTAACTAAGGAAAAATGGTGATGTTGAGCACTCTTAGAAGATTCTGCGGTCTAAAATCAGAACAAAAAAAAAATAACATTAATCTTAAGCCTTGTCAGCCTTGGAAGCAGTGGCAGCAGCTTGCCCTCTAAGTCTTCCTGTTCTCCTTGCAGCAATGAGACCGACCTTCTGGCCAGGAGGAGCATCACGCCTGACTGTGCTTGCATGTCCAATGTGCTGGTGGTTACCTCCTCCGTGAGGATGCTCAACTGGGTTCATAGCCACACCACGAACCTTAGGCCAGCAGTTCCTCTTCACTCTGAATTTGTGGTATGCATTACCAGCCTTGAGCATTGGCTTTTCAGTCCTGCCACCGCCGGCAACTTGCCCAATCATTGCCCTGCAGCCACTTGGCACAATCCTCTTCGCATACCAGCCTTGAGCATTGGCTTTTCAGTCCTACCGCCGCCAGCAACCTGCCCAATCATTGCCCTGCAACCACTTGGCACAATCTTCTTCGCACCAGAAGGAAGCTTAATCCTGTTGAGAACATGTAAACAGACACAATGACTTAGTCCCTAACCAACGCAGCAAGCATGTCACACCAACACGATCCATTATTTGTAAAAACACAACTGGCATAAAACCTTACTATAATCAATGCATAACATTTCAAGTAAAAGACCTTGACCAAGAAAACAGAGAAGCTAATGACAAGCTAAACTGAGAAGTACATTCAGTAATAGATGTCAAAAACCGAAAGATCAAATCGGATTAGTACAAACCAGAGCCTGCACAGGTAGAAAGTGAAGACAAGAATATAAAGCAATTATAATCTCAAGAAAAATCACATAACACACACTTGAAATAAAATGAAACGTTGGTTGAGACCCAATCCTACTAAAATTCAAATATAATCCAACCCAAGTCAAAAGTCTTACTACTAATTATATTGGTTCATAGCCACACCACTAATTCAACAAAATCCAAGAAACAAAACACTAGCTACTTTTACCCAAGTGGGAATTTTCAATAAAAATGTCATATTTCATGCTTCATTATTGAAAGCAAACTACATTTCATCAAATAAGATATAATTACTAATTAATGTTCTTAGGATATAATTATCAAACGGAAACAGAAGGATGAGAGAGAGAGAGAGAGAGAGAGACCTGGAGGTATCGTTATCAGGGTTGTGGCTGATAACAACAGCGTAATCGCCAGAAGCCCTGGCAAGGACTCCACGGTCACCAACATGGTGCTCGACGTTGCAGACGACAGCTCCCTCCGGGATCGATCTGAGAGGCAACACATTGCCGACGACCAGATTGGCCTTCTTCCCACAGTAGATGAACTGGCCAGTGTAGATTCCCTCAGCGGCGACGAAGAGCTCGTTCTGCTTCTTGTATCGGAAAGGATGGCGGAAGCTGACTCGGGCGAGCGGGGCTCCGCGACCCGGGTCGTGGATGATCTCGGTGACGACGCCCTTGAGGTAGCCGTTGCGCTCGCCGAAGTCGAGGCTGCGGAATCGGGCGGGACCCTTGCGGTGGTGGGTGTGGGACTTGAAGACCGACCCTGCACCCTTACGCTGAGCTCTGATGACTCTTCCCATGGCGGCTTCCCGCTGAAATGTCTCTCTTCTCTGCTAGCGGTAGCGGCCCCCAAATGTTGCTTCGCAAGTAAACCCTAGAACTCACAAATTTATAGCATTTGGATACGGCCCAAAATGTGTTAGAGTTGGGCCTAATTTTTATAATTCGAAACCCAACTTAAGAGGTAAAATGAGAGGATTTAATTTGTTTTTTTTTTGTCAATGAGAGGATTTAAATTTAGTCCTAGTGTTATCTGCCGTTTTGCCCCTTATATTGTACTATACCTTAATTATCAATTTACTCTTCATACATTTTTTTAGGTACATTTAAGGACTTAAACTGTAGTTAGTGGGGTATAGCTCCGTTGGTTGAACTCTTTCACCTTCATCCATGTGGACAGATATTCGAAACCCCCAAGCACCCAATGAATATTCGTGTAAATCCCCCTCTCGTAATCGCTTGTAATAAAAAAATAAAATAAAAAACTTAAACTATATAAAATAGGCCATGATTCCAATTTTTGCTTGATATTGATTGATGCATGCTGCACATCTTTGAGATATGGGTTTGTTTTGTCAATGGATTCAGGTATTGGGTTTTTAGATTGCAGGAGCTTTGGTAGTAGAATTGTTTGAAATAGGTTTCTTTATGTTGGGCAACTTTAAAAATTGGGATCAGCTGCATGCTGGATTTACATTTTTAATGAACCAAAATTTAGGGATTGGATATGCACTAACTTTTGAGCTTGTTTATAATTGCTTAAAGTTCTTCAAAAAGAAAGGGTTTAGGGTTTCACAAGAAGAAAAATAGGACTTCACAAGAATAAAAGAGGATCCATGAATGAAGAACAGCTACAATCAAGAATAGAAGGAACAACCAAAAAAAAAAGAAAACACCAACGGAAGCTATCAAGTAATAAAAAAATGGTTCATATATTTCGATAATTGTTTCACTGAATTGCTGCATCAAGAAATTAAAGACCACCAGAAACATGCTTCTTCTACATCAGGTAAATTGCTCTGCTCCTGCTGCTGCACACACTGTTTGGTTAAGCTCTAGACGTGCTGCTGCAATAGCCTGAGCCAAGTTCTTGTCATCATCAGCATTATAGAAACAATCACGTTTCTTCGCATCAAGAATTAGCTTCTTCCAAATTGAGTTACTGTTTCTCAATGTGGCTTCGTTCCCCAATATCCAAAGGCAATACCTACACCAACACAACCACAAAAAATTAACTTCATCAAAACTACCAATAATTCAGACAAAACATGTAATCTACAACATGAGCAAGCTACAATGTAACAGTAATACCTCGCACGAGTTAGCACCACATTTGCTCGTTGACAATCGGAGAGGAAACCTACAGATCCATTCCAGTTACATCTGACAGTGGAGATAATTATAACATCCTCTTCACCACCTTGGAATCCATCAACAGATCGCACACGTACAGAGAAATCTTTGCCAGAAACTTCACTGTAGTTTCTGACTCTCAATTGAATTGCATTGACTTGAGCATTGTAAGGCGATATTACCCCAACACTAACCTTCTTTTTTGTTCGAGTAAATTCTGTGGCGAACAATGAAAAGTTACGAAAATTAAAAATTTAGCTAAAACCTTCTCAAGCGGAGCAGCATATTCTTACAACAACTAGCTTAGGACAGTAATTACCTTTGTAAAGGCTTGAAACAATCTCATATACCACAGCAACCTCAACCATGTTTTTCAGACTATGCCGGTGATCAAATTCTTCTTTTCCATTGGCTACATTTATAAAGGAGTACGGCCCGTACATTCTGCCCTCAATGAAGGACTTCTCATAGCTTACTTCACTGACATTTGGACCATCTAATATCTGATTGTTGTAGAACTCCTGTTTCGGAAACATGCTGATCGATGGATGCATCCTATACTGGACATTGAGAAGGAGCTTCTTGTGGCCTAACAGTACAAGTCTTTCGAACAAACTTCTTCCAAATTCAGCGTTCTCAGAGATCTAACAAGTTCATTTGCTATGACGTTAAGATAATATTATATATATTGTGTGTGTGTGTGTGGGGATAAGCTTGTCATTATTTGGAAAACTATAGAACACAAAGGATGACAAGAAAACCTTGCTTTTAACCATAGCAGGGAGTTGCCTCTCATCTCCTATGAGAATAGCATGGCGAAGACCAGGTAGTTGTAAAGGAATTGCTGATTCACATTCTTTCAGCTGAGCCGCGTCATCAATCACTAACATTTCCAGAGGTGCCATTCCTTCAGTGTGCAATTTTGCAGAGCTTGACGCAGTACTAAATATTAAACAAGCATTTGCCAAGCACAAATTTCTTATTGTTTGTCGGTCATTCGAATTTGGAACAGAAAATGCACGGAGGGACTTAAGAATTTGAGTGCAATATTCTTCAAGAAGTAATCGTAACCTATGATTCGCAACACCAGCCCGATACATTATAGATTTAATCAACGTAAGCAAATCCAAAACTGTAATCATGTCCTTCACAACCTCAAGTGAAATGCAAGATGTTGGCAAGTGGGTGTACATGTTTACCATACAAGTTTCCAGCTGCTCACTAAAGTAAACAAATTTTTTCTTCACAAACTCATCAAACGACAAAAGATGATTCTCATCATCACTTGTTGAGCTGCTATCATCTTGGTCATCACCCTTATTGTGTTTTTCCCTCTTTTGCTTTACATACAACATGTAGTGTAGCTGTGGATCCTCAAGTAGACCTATCAGGGATTCTAACCAGTGTTTCCAACCAGACAAAGGGGCAAGACACTTAGAGAGAATATTAAGACGAGTATCAAGAAATACCTCAAAAAGGTCGTTATACTTATCGATCTTCATTTGCTCCACATTCCCAAATAGAATTATATCTCCTAGTCCATACTTTCCATAATTAAGAGACTGATTAACCAACCTCAGGAGTCTCGCCGTAACTTCTAACACGGCAGTATTGGTTGGAGCACATGTTAGTGTTCTGCACTTCAACTTAAAGAGGGTAAAGAGTGACATACCAACTGTCTTGGTTTTTCCAGTTCCCGGAGGTCCCCATATTAGTTTTATGGCATTATGGTGATGACACTTGCTCAAACTGATACAGTTTAAAACTGCTGCCTTTTGGGAATCATTTAGATCAGAGCACATTTTGGACCATTTTCTAGAAAGGGCAGGGGAGTATATTTGTTTGGAAAAACAAATTGTGCAAGAATTCTCATCCTGTAAGAAACAAACATAAAATGGATTAGTGAGGTATGTGAAAATAGTCACATAATAGCTTGGCAGGTAAAACCAACATAACTGGATTATCGAGGGAGAGACTATTTGGTTTAAGAGTTAATTGACATTAAACATGGTTGGCAATCCAATCAAATAAGATTTTTATTCAAAAACATGAAGAAGGTTCAGCGTGCATGATTTTGAGTTGAAGATAAGAGTAGAGAAAAATACATCTGATGAATTGGGTTGCACTTTCAGCACATTCTTAATTATATTTGTGTTCGCCTCGTCTGAGTTCAACGCGTTCCATACACGAACATTTGTGATCGTGTTCATCAAATAGACAGCAAACAGTGTTTCTCTCTTGCTCTCTATTTGCTTGAATCTATTTGGACCAAAATTGACATGGGTCAATTCGTTGTTTATTTGGGGCAGTTTAATTTCCGGGCCCCAACAGTATCCTTCTCCACTGATAGGCTTTGATGAGAGTATTGGGAGCTTGCCTGAGCTGTCATCTTTCGATCGGAGAACATATGCAACAAGATAGAAATTTCCAGGCCTGTTCAAATCATCAATGCATTTTGGTCTAATATTAGTCAAGGCAAAGATATCTCCAACCTTTGGCTCATATTTTCCTGCATTACTTTCGGTTTGTCTCGTCTTCCTAACTGTAATTTCATAGAACAAGTCTTTGAGAGCCTTATGATGCTTAGAAGTTTCAACAGTCAGAATCTCACAAATAGGTGCCTGCGAAAGAGCCATCATGCTTGAGAGTAAATCAGAATGAGTCTCCTCAATAAGTGAAGGAATGAATGACTTCATGTAACTCGCCACTGTCGAAAATGTCTTTGGAATTTTGGTCACCTGCAAGTGAATTTTGGTACACACATATATAATTATGAGCTAATTTACCAGTAATTTAGATATTATGCAAAGAAAAAGATTGAAAGAAGCAAATAAAAGCTAAAGGCAGTTATTTTATATATATAAACTCATACAAATTTTTTTTTGGTCTGATAAACTCATGCATATATAAACTGAAAACTCATGCATTTACTAATATAAATTATTTATAAAATGAGATGAAAGGAAAGTTGACAACACACTAGCTAGATATGCATGATGAGATAAATAACTGGAAAGAAAACCTGGTGTTTATAAAGATCTCTGTCGAGAACATTCCTCAGAGACCAAGAGAAGACCAAGTCTATTAAGCTTCTACCTGCAACTTCAAAAGGCTTCTTCACCTCATTCTCCTCATCCATAATTATTACATAGTCAACTGAATTCCCCAACTTCTGATATATATATATATGCACAATGGCTTCTGATTTCTTCCACTTTGCTTAGTACAGACGCGAGAGTACAAAAAACAAGTTTACAATAACACCCTCAACTATCATGACTGTAGAGTTTAACACTTGAATTATTTTTTCAGCCAATTTACCCTTCAGACTATTTTAAAGGGTCAATTTAGCACATGCTGTCAAATTTTTACACTTTCATCCAATTTTCTAGGGGTGAGCATGGGTTGGGTTCGGTCAGTTTTAGTCTTAACCCGTAGTCCAATCCGATATATATCGGTTTATGATTTCTTGAGCTCAAGACTCGCTCATTATTAGGTTAACCCAACCCAACTCAAATTTTTTGTGATCAAATTGGGCGGTTCGGTCAGGTTAACTCAAAATTAAGCTTATGGATTTTTAGGTTTAATGGTCCCTGAACTTTGACCTGATTCGCATTTTAGTCCCCAAATTTTCAAAATCATTCCTATGGTCCTTCAACTTCAGTTTCGTTAGGACAAATGGTCCTGCAGTCAATTTTGTAACTTATCCTGATTTTTAGGTTCAATGGTCTCTAAACTTCGATTCGATTCGCATTTTGGTCCTTCATTTTCCAAAATCGTTCATGTGGTCCTTCAACTTCCAATTTGTTAGGACCAATGGTCCTACCTTCAGTTCTGTCAATTTTTTTTGTCAAAAATGACCATGTGCATACATGGGGATTAGTTAAGGGACAAAAACGTAAATTACTTGGCTCGTGATATATGTGGAGCAATTCCTTTTTCCCCTGACCAACCACAACCCAGCTCAGCCACCCCAACCACCATCTTCCCCGACTAACCACAACCCCCACCCCAGCCCTTGCAATTACTCAACACACCTATTGAACTAGCCAACCAACACCCCAGGGGCGGCCCTGAGGGTGTGCAAGTGGTGCCACCGCACAGGGCCCCCGAATTTTTTTATGTGTATAATATATATATATTTAGCGAGCAAATTTTTGACACGAAGACATTTCTAGTTGTATTGGTTTGCAGGGCCTCAACTTCCATTCAGGACACAACTTCAAAACCCGCTTGTGTAGATCAATCATAGTTTTAGTTCTTTTTTGGTTTTTTTGGTAACAACAATTAATAATCATAATAATTAAAAAGGCAAACACGTTATTTTCTGTAAGTAATAATCATCACCAATATCTCTCCTTGGCTCTCTTTTTTAATCCTTTGACAATTTTTTTTATAAAAATTATAGTTGAAAATTTATTATGTACAGGACCAGTAAAATTTCTTTAAAGAACAGAGTCATATGCAAATGTGACCTAGCTAGCAGCAAAATCACCATAATGACAATTAAGGTCAAATTAAAATTTTGGTTTGTTTTTTTGAAACTTATTGTTTTCGTTGAAAGATAAAAACTGCTCTGCTGTCTCTCAATCACATAATGTTGCAACCACTGTTTATAGCAGCTTGTCCAATGTCAACACCAACATTCAATATCCCAGCTACTTTCACAACCACATACTGAAATAATAAATTCCCGATCACAAGGAATTAGTCAGTAATTATGTAGGCAAAGGTCATGCTCCTTATTCTTTAGTTAAAATTTAGCTAAAAACA